CTGATCCCAGAAGCCCTAAACCCTAAACCCCAAACCTTGAACCTTAGGGTTTACCTGTGACCCCAAACCCTACAAAATAGTACTCTGCTCCTCGCATGGTTAAACCCCAACTGGCCCAAAAAGTGTCCCTACCCATAGGCCCCCAAGTAGTTCCTTTTTGGGATTGCCTTATAGGTTTCTAAACATAAACCATAAAAAAGGAACTACTTAGGGGCCTGTGGGTAAACCCTAAACCCTCTCATCTTGAGCCCAAACTGGCCTACTGCACCAAAAGCGAAACCCTAACCACAGGCCCTCTGTTAAAACCGGTCTAGACAAGCCTGGTGGATGCCCATCATGGCCGGGACAATCTTTACAACATTGCGTGCTTGCGGATTGCCTTGCTGGTTCCTTGGCTTTGGGCTGCGGCTTCATCTTGGGGTGTGGGAGTTTAGGGTTGAGGCCTTGTTCTGAGGGTCCAGGTGTTGGAGGCGAAGTCCTAGCAGCGGTGGGGACGACGCAGCGCGCTCGGGCTTGCGGCTGTTTGGTCTAAGGGCTCATGGCTTATTACCTCGAGGACTTATCTTATGTCATGCTGGATCTCTTGATAGTCCTCGTCCTGGTTTGGGGAGTTAGCGATGTGTAAGAAGAAAATGCAGGATGACGAGGCATAGGGGTCTACAGGTTTTAGACCCCAGCTCAAGCCTGAGCATGAGCAGCGGATGAAGAGCAAAGAGGAGAAGATGAACAGGATCCTGGTTCCTTGGAGGTTCAGGAAACTTAGCAGGGTGTCTATAAGGGTTCTATTGAGGGTTCTGGAAGGGTCCTATAGGGGTCTTGCTGCCACTCCGATGGACAGTGTCGCTTCGGTGTGCTGACAGTGCCACACCAAGCAGCCTCAGCAAACATGTGATATCCGAGGTTTGGCGCAGGCAGGGAAGGCTTCATTTTAGAGCCATGACGGAGGGTGTACACATACACACGTACATATGCTAAGGATGTTACTGTTTTGGAAAAAGAGTCGGGTGCCTCATGCTCTGATTTCAGGTGTAGTACCCTGACATCAAGTAACAAATGCTATGGGCCTTATCTGGGCCATGAAGCCCTAGCCATGACAAGCCCTACACCCAACACCTAAACCCTGACTACAGCCCTCAAGCCTCAAATCCTACAAGCCAGAAACGCAAAAATCCTAACCCGCTCATCCTAAATCCTAAAACTTAATTTTAAAATCCTTGTAGAACGCTTACAAGGGACCCTTTATAGAATCCGTACAGGAACCCTAAGCCTGAAGCCCTTAACGCCCGACAGACCTACCCTAACCGTCCCATATCTTGTCAGCCCTTTACCCTAAACCCAAAACTCAAAACCCTAAACCTGGGTTTGGGATTGGGTCTAGTTCTTCGGGATTGAGGATCTAGGGCTTGGCTTGTAGGGTGCGGGTTTGAGCGTTTAGGGTCATAGGTCTACGTCTTGCTGCGTGGTTTGGGCCCAAGAAGTTTAGAAAACACCCGATTTTTCTTCTCAAGGAACCTCAGGCCACATTCCAGGTATCATGATGAGGTGAAGTTACATAGTATCGCTTGCTCTCTCTTCCGATCCTTCTCTCTCTCCCCATAAAAGTGTATGTATATAGACATACATACGTACGCCATGTATGTATGTATGCATGTACGTATGTATGTGTGTGTATATATGTATATACATATAAATGTGTGTATATGTATATAGTATATAGTATATATATATATGTATGTGTGTGTATATATATACATATATGTATATATGTGTGTATACGTATATAGTATATAGTATATATACATATATATATATATAGAGAGAGAGATATTACCTTACCTTACCTTACCTTACCTTACCTTGCCTTGCCAAGAGCCCTCACCTATAACCGAGAGCCCCCCAGACCTTCCAAAATACCCTAATCAAGCCAGATACTTACTTTGAATCATATTGATCCTCCCTAAACCCTAAACCCTAAACCCTGCTACAATTTGGAACGCATTCCTTAATTGAAGGAGTTTGGAAGGTCTGCATGCGCCCAAAAGCCCTGCAGCTTGCGGAATACTACATACCCTGAACGGTTCATGGTAGGGTTTAAGTTTACCCATAGGCCCCTAAGCAGTTCCTTTTTGTGGTTTATATCTAGAACCCTATAAGGTAATCCCAAAAAGGAACTACTTAGGGGCCTATGGGTAAGGAGTTTACGGATTACTACTGACCCCAACAAGCCCCAAGACCGGTATGAGCCTTAAACCCACTGTAACAAAGCCTACAAAGGCTTTCCCTAAACCCACCTATGAACAGCCCAAGAGCATCCCTGCAGGTGTCGACGTTGTCGCGGAACAACTCCTTTGCCATGGAGTTCCAAGTTTGGCCGTTGTCGCGGGCAGCGGGCATCTCGCTGTGCGCGCTTTGTTTGAGGATTCGCACCTGTGGTTTTGGTTTTCCTTTTGCAGCGCGCGCCGCGGAAGCCTGCTTGAAGCCGCCGCTGCTCCTCACGCTCCTCGAGCTCTGCTTGCTCGACATCTTCGCGGCGGATGGCCGCCGCCAAAAAGTAATCGTCGCGCCAGGCGCGGAAAAAATCTTGACAGGGGCGATCTCCATCTGCAAGATGCGCTCGTGGATAGAGGAAGCTGCGTGAGAGCGCGATCCGCCAGAATCTGGGAAACGCTTATGAACACAAAACCCTAATTCACGCAAACCTCATACAACCAGTATAGTTCTAAACCCACTGTAAAAAAAACAAAACAAAACGCATATGAAAACAAAACCTCATTCACACAAACCTCATCTAACCCTTTCTCAAACCCTCTCTAAAACCCTACACAACCTCTCTCTCTAAATCCGGCAGAACTCTCTCTAAACACTCTATAAAACCCTAGGAGCCGAGTACCCTAGCCCAAAAAAGGTTAACCGTTGAACTTATAGTAGGGTTTTATAAGCCCGAAAGGTCGAAGGTTACCTGCTTAGCCCCCCTAAGAAACTCTATCTTTGAAGGCAAAGGTTCAGCTCCACCTCGAAGTTGACGCAATCGCCAGCCTTGCAAGAAGGGACACCAAGCTGTCTCAGAGACTTCAACAGGTTATTTGTGTTTAGGGTTTACGGGTTAAGCGTCTTAACTTGTAAGGTTTCGATGGGCTCATAGCGTGTTCACAAAGCCTTCAGAGGGTTTACACTGGCGTGAGACTGTGTCAAAACCATGATTCCAAACGAGAGGGTCCCTGCACAGCTTGTGTTTGGGTCCAGGGTCTATGTCGGAAGCTACTACAGCCCCGCAGCCGCAAAAGAGGGTACGGCTAGGAGTTAAGGCCCTCGACCCGACAAGCTTCACGCCCTGGACCCTAAGCCTCAAACCCTAAACCCTAAACCCTAAACCCTAGGCTCTATTTACTTGCCTGGCCTGCTCTTCCAAACCCTAAACCCCAAACCCTAAGCCTGTAGGGAACCTATATAGTGATTTTTTCGGGCTTTTATAGTTTGAATGCTAGGATCACCAGCAACCTAGGAATAAACTGGGCTCCCGTTTTGCTGTAGGGAATTTTTTTTTATAAGAAACCTAAGACTCCAAAAAGAAAGAAAAAAAGGGACCACTGGGAGACCTAAAGCTACACCCCTAAACCCTAAGCCCTAAGACCTGGTCCCTACGGGGAACCTACTTTTTTAGGGTTCCTTACTACGATTTCTTTTTATAAGTCCCTAAGAAAGGTAGGTTATTTGGGGTCTAGGTCAACCCTAAAACCCGAACCCTACAGGGAACCTAAACCCTAAACCCCCTTCATCTGATTTGCTTTTTGGCCCGGCCTGCAGCCCCTCGGCCTGCTGTTTGTGCAGGAAGACGTCTCCTGTAGGATTTCGGGGCTTAACTCGGTTTAGGGTTTAGGGGGTTTAGGGTTTAGGGTTTACAGGTTTAGGGAAACGGAGGAAGAGATAGGGGCCTTGCTAATTAGAAAAGGGCTTGGGGATGACATGGCGAGGCATAGTTTTGCTAATTGTTCAGGCGTCCATATTACAGGAAGTCAGGGATGCGGTTAAGACTTCGCGCAGTTTAGGTTCTTGCATGGCTGGCAGAGGCCTGACTCCACCAGGATACAATTAATTACCCATAGGCCCCTAAGTAGTTCCTTTTTTGTGGTTTATATCTAGAATCCTATAATATTCCCAAAAAGGAACTACTTAGGATCCTATGGGTAATTACCTGCAGCCCAACAACCTACAAGTTTAAGTAACATAGCTAGGAATTGCTTCCAGGCATCTGAGACCCTAAGGGTCCATGTACCTAAATAGAATATACATTGGCCCTAAAGTATCTACATAGGGACTACATTAAGGCCAAAGTATATACTAGTTGGGTACATGGACCTTTAGGGAGCAACATTGGTACATAGGATCCTCTTACGCTCAATAAGGGCAAAACCTAAAATGTACCGATGGCCTACCTGGGTAATATGCCTAAGTTTGGGGTCTTCACTGAAGTTCAAAGGAAATCCTAGACTAAACCTCTATAATACCCCTCATAGGATCATGTATTTTTTTTGAGCCCTTGCAAAGACCCTTTAAAGGAACCCTGTTCTACTCGTGGAACAGCCCTAGACATGCAGGCTTTTCCGGGCTCGGGCACGGATTGCTTGAGAGTGCCTGGCTCCTGGTGTTTATAGGGTTTAGGGTGTCCGACACACACAGCAGACCCCAAGCAAACCTGATTAGAAAATGGCTGACATTGCCCGCTGATAGTCCCTAATGCAGTAGAAGAGACAAATACTAATAACTACCAATGGTATACCCTTATAGTCTCTAGTATAGTTAGGCTTCAATATCTACCGAAAAACCCAAACTAGTCATTAAGGCCCCTGCTTTTCATCAAGAGGGCCCCTATATCGAAGCCTATGTCCCTCCTCAAAAAGGGCCAAGTATCCCTTACCCATAGGCCCCTTTAAGTAGTTCCTTTTTGGGGATTACTTTGTAGGATTCTAAATATCAACCATAAACATTTCACATTCAAAACTTGAACCATGGAAGCAGCTACTTGGCATAAACAGGGTCCAAGAGGAAAACCCTAAAAACTCCGAGCGCAGCTGAGATACTCTTATACTGCTGCTTCACAGCGTCGCACTCGATGAAGCCGAATCCCTTCTGCTGGTTGTAGCTCTTCACCTTCCCCTTGGTGTGTGTGTGTGTAACTACGAGTAGAATAGAGTTTCTGGGTGGTAACACATTGCAAGTATCATAGGGACTATGATGAGATGGTGTGCGGCAGGAGGTGGAAGACCCCAGAATGTGAGAACCTGCCTGAGTTGGGAGTGCGCATGGGGTCTTGAAGCCCTCCATACTGTTGAGGTTATAAATCCTGCACTACCTTAAGGACCCTGAACTATGGGAATTATGGTACATTCCTTATTATGGGTAATGCAGGATTTATATCACCAACCCTACTGCGAGGATTGAGCTGGGGATGGTTCTTCGTTTCTCCTTCCAGGCTTGCGTCAGCCGCATATCTTGTGTGGAATCGAATTTAGCTTGCGCAGAGGCTGAACCGTCCGTGAAAAAAACCGCAAAGGGTCTATACCCTGAAACCCTAAACCCTAAACCCTAAACCCCCTGAAACCCTCAACCCTTGAAGAGTAGCTGAAATACTTATCACCAAAGAAGGATCGCTCAAAGGAGCCCGGACTGCGGCTTTGGGGTCTTAGAGTCCCGTAAGGGTCCATGTGCCCCAAATAGTATAGACATGGGCCCTGAAGTACCTATATAGGGACTACCTTAAGGCCAAAGTATATATACTATTTGGCTACATGGACCCTTAGGGAATGGCAAGGCCCTCCTCGGTTTCAAATCCCAGAAGCTTGAGCCTTGTACTCTTAGACAGCAACTGCTGTACCCATAGGCTCCTAAGTAGTTCCTTTTTATGGTTCATATTTAGAATCCTATGGCAATCCCAAAAAGGAACTACTAAGGAGCCTCTGGGTAAAATCAAAACCCCAAACCCCGGCAATCTAGACTCAGACCCTAAAACCCTAGGCCCTAAATTACTAAACCCTAAACCCTAAGCCCTAAACCCAAGCCCCCAGTTCTGAACCCTGAACCGCGCATTAAATCCCGAGCCCAAAGACTCCATGAGGCAAGGAGTACGCCTGAAACGTAAACTTGCTACAGAAGGAAACCTGATGTGAGTTGCAGTATACTCCTTCACCACCGGGTCTGCGAAGCCTTCACAACAATCGGACAAAAAGACATTCAGGACAGCATAATACATCCTGGCACAATCTTGAACCCGAAACCCTAAACCTTCGTATCAAGATTGCCGTCCGTGGGAAGCCTACTTAAAGGTTCAAGAGACTTGGTAAGCTAGCCGGGGACCAAGTCCCATGATCCTCCCAATATCCTTATGACGTCTGTTAAGGTGCTGAGAACTGTACATTTGGCTGCGAGAACTGTACATGTGGCTGCGAATCCCGAGGGTCCAGATATACTACCATTCTGGAATTTGTCCCCCAAAACCATCCTTAGCCATCCTTATCATGGTTTTGGAGACCTAATTTCATAATAGTAGTGTACATGGACCCTCTTGGTAAGTCCCCTGAACCTCCAAGCGGCCTTAAACCGCAAGCCTTAGCGCCCGTCCCTTTCTCAGGACTTTATGGGATTCTGCAACCCCCTAGCATGGAGACCTTCATACTTAGAAAACGGTTTTCGGGTATGTGTTTATAGTCTCTCACGTTAGGGTCGTGCTATTGATTCACGCACCTAAAGTACTCCCTACGTAAACCCCTAACCAGGGCATATTCGGGAACGTAAGGAACACATTATTGCTAACTATTCAGGCCTCCTACGGTAGGCCTTCGGAACCCGAAAACCCTAAACCCTAAAACCCTAAAAACCTGAAAAAAAACAAAAACAAACAAACAACCTAAACCCAACAACTGCCAAGATCGACGCTTCCAAGACTTGGTTGTGGAAAGCAGATCGAGCCTCAGTCGGCGAGGGTCTTGGAATCTGAAGGGCTTCGGTTTAGGGTTGAGGGTTCAGGGTTTATAAGGTCCTTAAACCCTACATCCTTAACCGTGTTAGGGTTATTAGGGTTCAGAAGGGCGTATAAGGGCTTTGGTAGATACGGAGTTCTGAAATCTGTAATAGGGCCTATGTGCTATACGCTTGAACCGGTTTCCATCAGGGTTTAGTGACACCAAGAGATTTGTGGGGATTAGGGTTTAGGGGTTTAGGGTTTAGGGCAATACATCGTCAGGACAAAAGTTTCGACTGACGAGGATCTTCTCTGTAATTCCCCAGGCCCCTTTGATTGATCTAACGACTAAAAAGGTCCCGGCCCCAACAGGCTACCCTATTATCGGTCATTTGTTTAAAGGGGCCTAGTTTTTAGATACTTTCCCTAAAAACCCTTAAACCCTAAGCATGTCCTCACCTATGTGGCATCTCAAAGCGAGGAAGTTCATGGCAGTTCTCCATCTTAGGGTCCCTTGTGGCCGTACTATTTTGGGGGACCTGGAACGGACTCTAAGGTTGAAATCTACCCTTATAGTACCCTTATAGAAAAACTTATCGGTCCCTTTACAGAAACCTTGAGGAGGGGCCCTAAACCCTAAACCTTAAACCTCAAACCCTAACCTAAACCCTAAACTCGAAACTAAACCTAAACCCTAAACCCCGGGATCCTACTTTAGAGAAGTACCCTCTATGGTACCCTTATAGATCCCTTTGCAGAACCTGAAACTACCCTCATGAAAGTCGCGGTCTTCGGGAAGCTTCGGGGGACTCCTGCGCTCCGATCTTCCAACATACCTGAAAGGGCTCCTTTGGAGAGATCTGTAAGGTTTAGGGTTTAGGGCTTAGGGTTTTAGGGTTTTAGGGTTTAGGGTTTAGGGTTTAAGGTTTTAAGGTTTGGGGTTTAGGGTTTCTACACCTGTGACCCCAAACCCTACAAAATAGTAGGTCATGACCGCTTAGTTAGAGGGTAGAACCCTTAGAAACGGTCGGTTTCTGGATTTGCAGGTAGGCGTAGTGCCTTTGAGGGGCTAAGTTTACAGCCCTGCAGCCGACGTGGAACTGAGAACAACAAACCTTCGAACCCCAAGTCCTCATCATTCAACTAGGGTTTAGGGTTAGGGTTTAGGGTTTAGGGTTTCAGCCCTTTCAGAACCCTTATGGTGCAGCACTACACAACTCCACAACACGCTAGTTATAGTCACAAAGCCCTATAGAACTCCTTTTCAATCCTGCTAAGCCCTGACACTAAATAAATTCCTAAGCCTAAACCCCGCAACCATCATAAAACCCTTCAAAACCCTATCAAATCCCTCTAACACAATATACACCCCCTCCCAAACACCACATAAAATCCTTAAGGCCCTTATTAAAACAAAATGAAGCGTGAAAAAAGGAGAAAGCTTGCAGCAGAGCCACATTTAGCCGCTTGTCCTGCGTCACCGCAGCCCGGGCCACACTCCCAGCATGGCGGGTGGGCTCTGCGCCTGGAGGGTTTAAGATTTTAGGAATCAAAGGTTTAGGGTTTAGGGGTTTAGGGTGTAGGGGTTATTTAGGGTTGACTGTTTAGGGTAGGATTTAGGGCTTGGGGCTTCGGGTTAGTCATTGAAGACTTACACAAGGCTTGGGGTTCAGGAGTTTCAGAATGTGCGAATTAGAGAAAGGGGTTGAATTTAGGGTCTAAGGTTTAGAAATTGTGGAAGCTCAGGGCATTCGGGTTTAGCGACGGGGATTTAGGGTTGGTTTATGCGCGTCCGCAGCGTAGTTCTACTGCACTTTAGGATTTGCTGAAGGCTTCATCGTGTACTAGGGCCTTGCATTTCTGGATGGTTACCTCAGATGATTTCAGATGAAGCTTTGTAGGTCCTTTAACCCTAAACCCTAAACCCTAAAACCCCAAACCCTAAATACTCTAAACCCTAAACTCCCCACCTGTCTACCCAGGCGTAGTACGGGGTTCAGGTTTTGCGAGAATTGCCCTGAGGCTCCATGTGCCCCAATAGTATATACATTGGCCATAAAGTAGCTATACGGGGACTACATTAAGGCCAAAGTATATACTACTGTTGATGATATAAACCCTGCATTACCAATAATAAGGAAATGCCACAATTCCCATAGTCTAGGGTCCTTGATAAGGTAATGCAGGATTTATATCATCAACAGTATTTGGGTACCTGGACCCTAAGCCCTAAACTGTAGGCTTCGAGTTAGGTAGTCAAAGAGTTCAGGGTCTTGGAATGTAGGTTCTGAGTCGGGGAGTCTAGTTCAGAGGTTATAACTTAGGGGCTTTGGATTATAGAGACTAGGGTTTCGGGTTTAGGGCTTTGGGTTTATAGCTGCTCTTTATTCTCAACGCTCCAAGTATACTACCCGCACTTGGGCTTACGGTAGTACCTGGCTTGAACTCTGCAGCCCTATCAACGTTGTTGAGGGCTTTGGTCGAAAACCCCACAACCCTAAACCCTAAGCCCTAAGCCCTAAACCCCAAGCCCTAAACCCTAAACCCTAAGCCCTAAACTGTTTTTAGGTTTAGGCCAGAACCCGAACTGAACACCTGGGGAGGCGGACACGGCCAAGAACAAGGCTTTAGGGACCTCAGGGGCTTTAGGGGCGTTTATGGGTTCTTGATTCAAGTTCGGTTTAGGGTTTAGGGTTTAGGGTTCATAGGGTTTATAGGGTTTAGGGTTCTTGATTCCAGTCTGAAGCTCAAGACACTGAAAAACCCGAAACCCTACAACCAGAATCCTCTCGAGAAGAGCCAAGGACAAGCAATGAGAGCACAGCCGGCCCAAGTCTCCCTAAGGGTCCATGTACCCAAATAGTATATACCTTGGCCTTAATGTAGTCCCTATATAGGTACTTTGGGGCCAATGTATATACTATTTGGGTACATGGACCCTTAGGGTAACATGCAATGCAGTCGAACGTGGAAAGTGGAACTCCCATCCCGTACCATCTTGGCTTTCGGCGCGTTACGAGCCCGCCAGCTAGGCGACCGCAATTCCTAACCGTCATGCCAGCATCATGGCAATCGCCATCAGAAGCTACCCAATCTTGTGGGACCGGTCGCGCGTACAGTCATCACGTAGCCAAAACAGAAAAAAGTGATGTAGTATCACGAACGAATCACCAAAGTCTCGACTTTAAAAATGATCATTTATGACCTTAAAACACAGGGTTGTCGGCACCCTCACTCCTTGGGGGGCTCCTCACACCAAGAGTTACAAATATCTTTTTAATGTTAAAACCCTCAACCCTAAAACCTAAACCCTAGAGAATAAGCATAAGCATATTAAGAGCCCCTAACTGCCCCAGCAAAGCTGTTA